GGGGGGGGAAGGGGCGGGGGGGGGAGGGCGGCAGTTGCGGTGGACACTGTTACTATCGCTTGGAAGCAATAACAGTGCCAAACTGGTGTGAGTCGTCGTTGTAGTGAGTATTTCCCAGATGCAGAAGGTATCTAATACAGGGAGGAGTGTACCGTTTGCAGGGTTGAGGGTGGGGATTTGAATGGGGGGTGTTCGTGTCGGTTAACGTGAAATTGGTAGGAAAGGAAGATGTGTGAACCATGCGATCGTTCCTTTCCTTTCATGGGCGAAAAAAAAAAAAAAGAAACTGCTTGTGGACAACGCATTGAATGTGCTAAAGATGATATGGGACTCGGGTCTGCGACACTGGCAGGGGGCGAAGGGGGGGGGGGGGGGTTTGCATCCTGCGAACGCTGAATGCACACACTCCAATGCGTTTCACTCTAATTGCTTGTGGCAGTGGTTGGCAATTGTTGATGTTACCGACGTGCTGGTTTGACAGCACCCCCCAGATGGGGGTTGCTGGCTTGAGCAACCCCCAGATAGTGGGTGATGCAGCGTTCGCCAGAGTTGTGGAAGGACCTTGAAGCAGAGGACGGCTGTTATGTGCCCCTCCTGGAGATCGGGACAGAGACATTGGGGTCCATTTTTGGAGACTATATGTTGAGGGCAATGAGGGGCAATGAGGGCACTACCTTCGGATCGGCGGCTTCTCCATCTCTTCCTCCCCTTCGTCTCTTCTCCCTCCTCCTCATATGTGCATGATTTCCGCCATGGCGCTCTTCTTCCATGTGTGCAGCGCCATGTCCCTTCCCTGCATTGGCAAAGAGCGAGTTGCAGTCTGTCAGGATCAAGTTGAGTCAGATCTGCGTGTGTCTATCTTCCACTGCATTGTTTTTGCTCATTCTCCTTTGCTCAATTCTTGGGTTCTGCGCCATGCCCATCTGATTGCTTCTGGGCATGCGACACCCAGCCTTCCGGAGAAATCTTTCATCGCACACAAAACTTTTGGAGGCTCGGGATACCGAACCACAATGGCTGGCGAGGCCACCCAAAAAAGAAAAGAAGTGCGCCGCTGGTGGTTCTGTAAAAGCTTGGCACGCAGTGGAAGGCCAGCAGGCCCGGGTGTACCGGTGGTTTAAACCAGGGGCAGAGCAGGGTCTCGTGGTGTTGGTAATTTAGTATACTATTTTGAAACGGTATTCACCTGTTCGCAGTAGCCGATGCAGCTCCCAGGGCTCGATCCCTAGACTTACCTTACATGTTTACGGTATCTGTGTCGGCCCCAGGAGTTGAACCCACGACCTGTGTCCTTTCCCCAGTTGGTAGGTCGTCGTAGATCTGTAGGTTATAGGGGTTCGATCTGTAGACCTGTCGGGTAGGAGTCTTAGCAAGGTCTAGAAGTCGTAGCTGTAGCTCCTCCGAAAGGTCAAGGTCGTAGCTGCTACAGGCCTGAAGGGTCAAGGTCGTAGCTGCTACAGGATAGAAAGGCCAAGTCCACGGCCTTCTGGAAGGTCCTAGTAGTGGCCTTTCGAAGCTGCTCACGTTTAGGCTGAGGCAAGTGGGCAAGTGGGGGAGTCCACCCGTGCTGAGTCAGCAGTCCCAGTTTGAGTCAGTCCTAGTCCAGTCAAGCAAGTACCGCATGGGACTGTGTGCACCACGGGCATGGGACAGGGGCAGACCAACGAGATACAGAAGTATAAATCAAGAGGCAGCGCCCAGCTATTCATTCATTCCTGCGTAAGCCATGCGGAAGCGCTGCCACAGCGACTTGTGCGAGGTGGTCTGCAGTGAGCCCATAGACGAAGTGGGCGAGAGAAGGAGCTTAGCCATAGCGATAGGGTAGCGGCGGCCATAGCCGCCATAGCTGATAGGAGAGTGTAGCGTGTATGTGTGTGCGTGTGTGTACCGTGTGATGCGTGTGGGATATCCAGGGTGATCCTGTGTGTGTGTGAACAGAGAGTTGTACAGGCGCTGTGCCACCATATCCATTTGAAGTGAACTTGTATCTGAACTGCGTTCTTGGTTACTATGTCTCTGAGTTCTGAGTGGGCGCCTGTCGCCAGTTTGCTGCGCAACCTGTTTACATGCATACGAAGTGTGAAAGATAGCGAGTCTGATTGCAATTTTTAGTATTTTACTATTTTTACTATTTTATTATGTTTTTTCTTTCTTTGTTCTGCTGTTACTCTGTCTCCTCTGCTACATCTTCGTTCCCTTTTTTTTTAATTATGTTTTTTCTTTCTTTCTTATGCTGTTACTTCGTCTCCTCAGCTAGATCTTCATTCCCTTTTCTTGTCTTTTTTATTTTTTATTTTTAACAGAGCAGTTGCAATCATGGTGAAGTTCCGCAGAGCGATCGTAGCCATGAATAGGTGTTGTGGGCACCGTTCCCGCCGAAGACATGGCCAAGCATTGTCGTTGGGTCAACTAGCTCATCAGCTAGTAGAGGTTACGTGGGAGATGGAGGGCCGTTTCCAGTGGATTTCCAGTGCTTTAAGGTGGTCTGTCTATGAGCTTCGAATCGCGGGCTACCTGATGGAGTTGTCATGCCATCAATCTCAGTGTAAATCTGCGGCAGACATCCAGGAAACAACAGGTGGAAACAAGAGACGAGAAGGCGGCTCGAGCGAAAATATGACGCATAGCAGGGTATGCCGGACTTCATCTGCACAAAAACGAAAGATATTAACAGCCTGCGCCTGCCGAACATAATGCCCTGTAATCAGAAATGTATACAAACTTGTGTCCAGTCCAAATGCAGTCATGATGTTGAGGCATTTTGTTCAGGGAAGAAAACTGGTACTTCTAAACATGTATGTGTGTGTGTGTGTGTGTGTGTGTGTGTGTGTGTGTGTGTGTGCGGGCGTGTGTGTGTGTGTGTGTGTGTGTGTGTGTGTGTGTGTGTGTGTGTTCAGAAATGATCTCACGGCGCGTCCGCCATGTTACTCCACTCTTTCAGTGGTACACCAGGTCCAGCCACAGCCGCCCATCACATGCTGTTTTAACTGCCACTTATCCATGCTACCTTTTCGGCGTACAATGACAGACCACACGCAAACAAACCAAACGGGCAAACCAAAAAAATCCCAAATGGATGTCAACGTACACCGCTGCCAGTTTTCCTTATCTGAGGCTACCTCATGCATACATATATATATAAGTTGTTGGCCAGCATCCAACAAACCAGCCTGAGAACCTCACCAATCACTGTGGTCTGACAGCACTAATATCTGTCTTCACATTCTCCACCGCCCGTTTTATACACCATCAGACTTCCTTGCAATCGCCCTTCAGCTTCATGCTGATCTTCCCCAACGACAGCCAGAGGATTGTAATTATACCAGCGAAGGAGGCTTTACCATTGCTGCCCTACAAGTACCAATGAGGGACCGTCAACTTGAACTACGCAATGCTCAAGCAGGTGAGTGGTTTAATCCCCATCCCACATCTCTGCCTGCATTGTGCACGGCCGTGGCCATTACATGGCCATTGTACATGCCTCTGACCACTGGGAGCTGTGGGACAACGGCACCATGGTCGATGCCATGATTGATGTCACTGATTTCTTACATAATAATGCTGTTTTCTTGCCTCAACAAACCATCTGCAATCTCTTTTATATCGAAGATCATTCCTCTGGCCCCATGCTGCAGTAAGACAATGTACCAACACTCTGCGACCTTCTCCTTTGCACAGCCACAAACATTGTTACGCTCGGCTGTAGCCGCCATCGTCTCTGTCACAATCACTACAATGACATGGTTTCTGCATCCATGTGTGCAGAGGACTGTCCCATTGTTCCTGACTGCACATGCTCAATGCCACCCGTCGTGGCAATTGTTGCACTGAGAATGCTCAGCTAGGTCTTCCATGTGTTCATCCACCTCATCCTTACAATGT